CGTCATGACCATAAAATAATTAAAGGTTTTCTGACTGGCTTGAAAGGTAAGTCTTGGCTGAAACTTCAGGTAACAGCTAGTATTTTCTGTACATACATAAGAGGAGGGGCTGGAACAGAGGAATGATGACTTAGTATAAGAGACATTGGGTATTATGCATAATTGCTGTTGGACAGGTTTAGATTAACATGATCATAATGACCATAAAATAATCAAAGGTTTTCTGACTGGCTTGAAAGGTAAGTTGTGGCTGAACCTTCAAGTAACAGCTAGTATTTTCTGTACATACATAGGAGAATTCAAAGAGGCTGGAATAGCAGATAGATGACTATAACAGACATTGGGTATCATGCAAGATTTCTGTTTTCACAGGTTTAGATGTAGCAAAGGTTTTTACATCATCTAAATATGAGAAAATTCATCCATTTTTTCCCCAAGAAAGAACAAAATTTAATGCTATGGCAGCATTGTGTTTCTAATGAATTTCAAAAATTTTGTCCATACGAACTAGGCATAACATGGAAGTACTCAATGCATTCACATAAAACGGCCAAATATTTGCTTTTCTGCTTGTCTCCAAGCCTGAAAATGTAAAATTTGTCTTAACAACTGACACGTCAGCAAAATGCACCAGATCTCAGAGTAAACAACCTGCTAAACATTAATATTCAAACAGTGTAAATCAGACAATCAACCAACTGTACATGTATATCAAGAATAAAATTAATGTAAGGTGGATGATCGCTTTTCATGGCTTCACCACTACATGTATGTGGTGAAGTGTATTATTGTTTTTGCTCACTTTTCTTCTCCTCCTTCTCCTTCTCCTGCCATCTCTTTAAATTGTTTCAACTCCTTCATTTTTGGGCCAAATAACATGAAATTTGGCATGAATGTAGAGAGGGCAAAAACCCCCAGGTGTATTTTTTCATTTTTGCGATACAGGCTTTTAGAATGGTTTTATTTGAGCTTTTTGGCTGTGTTATAGAAAATGTATTATTAACTAGAAAGGCTGACATTTGCTTTGGAGCAAATGTAGCGGATGGCTTCACCACATTTTACAACATGGCAGGGAAAGAAGGAGAAACACAAGGGAAAACAACTCCTTACATTGATATAATTATAGTATGAAGTGACAACAGTGGGATAGCTATCCCCTACATTATTGGTTAGGATTTTTCTGCATGTATGTACTGAATATACTTCAGCTACAAATTCTTCCTATTCACCAAGCTTAAGAAAAGTATCAACTTAAAGGTTTACATGCATCTCAAGCAGTAACTTGAATAACATGAGCAAGATGTTATGACGTCAACATTATCAACGTGAACTAAAAGCGCCCCATAGCAGTTGACAAGAAAACTGCAACCAAGGAATTTTCAAGCAGAAAGGCAATACTATTTCAATGGACAAACAAATCATCATTATTATTCATTAATGTTAATATTCAACCAGCTAGCTTCAGACAATCAACACACCCAGATTGCGTAAGATTTTTCCAAGCTTGTTTGTCAGACTTCAGTTCGAAAGAGATACACATCTAGCTCACATCGGAGAGGCACAACAGCAGAAACAACACTGCGGAAAGATCGTCATGACCATAAAATAATTAAAGGTTTTCTGACTGGCCTGAAAGGTAAGTCGTGGCTGAAACTTCAGGTAAGATCTGGTATTTTCTGTACATACATAAGAGGAGGGGCTGGAACAGAAGAATAATGACTTAGTATAAGAGACATTGGGTACTATGCATAATTTCTGTTGGACAGGTTTAGATTAACATGATCATCATGACCATAAAATAATTAAAGGTTTTCTGACTGGCCTGAAAGGTAAGTTGTGGCTGAAACTTCAGGTAAGATCTGGTATTTTCTGTACATACATAAGAGGAGGGGCTGGAACAGAAGAATGATGACTTAGTATAAGAGACATTGGGTATTATGCATAATTTCTGTTGGACAGGTTTAGATTAGCAAAAAGGTTTCATCTAAATAAGAGAAAATTCATCCATTTTTCCCCCAAGAAAGAACAAAAATCGTCATGACCACAAAATAATTAAAGGTTTTCTGACTGGCTTGAAAGGTAAGTTGTGGCAGATACTGGTAAATAACTATAAAAGACATAGGATATCATGTATATTTTTTCTTCTGTTTAGTCTAGATGTAGTTAAAATTTTTAGCAAATGTAAGTTGTAGCTGAACCTTCAGGTAAGCTCTGGTATTTTCTGTACTTACTTGAGAGAATTCAAAGAGGCTGGAATAGAAGATAGATGACTATAACAGACATTGGGTATTATGCAAGATTTCTGTTTTCACAGGTTTAGATGTAGCAAAAGGTTTTTACATCATCTAAATATGAGAAAATTCATCCATTTTTCCCCAAGAAAGAACAAAATTTAATGCTATGGCACGATTATGTTTCTAATGAATTTCAAAAATTGTGTCCATACGAACTAGGCACAACATGGAAGTACTCAATGCATTCACATAAAACGGCCAAATATTTGCTTTTCTGCTTGTCTCCAAGCCTGAAAATGTAAAATTTGTCTTAAAAACTGACACGTCAGCAAAATGCACCAGATCTCAGAGTAAACAACCTGCTAAACATTAATATTCAAACAGTGTAAATCAGACAATCAACCAACTGTACATGCATGTATATTAAGAATTTAAATGTAAGTTGGATGATGGCTTTTTACACACTCAGTTGTTTCATCATATTCACTAAAAATAATCTGAAGGTTAAACCATACATACAGTTTGCATTTTAGAAATGCTAGGAAAAGCTGGTATGAATCTGTGAAGAACATTCCAGTACCCTGTAAGTCTGTACCCCGAAATATTAATATGCAGATAGCCAGGCTCAGACTGATTAAAAACTGTTGATATTTGGGGCCTGCTTGGGGGAGTCCCGACAACGCTCTACGCTAAATTTTGAGAGCTGGCTACGTATTACGCTAAATTCAGGAAACTCTCAATTATTCTTTACATTAAATTCCAAGTGGCTACAATGCATTACGTAGAATTAAAACTGCGAATACGCTCTATGCAAAATGCGCCAATTACGCTCTACGATGAATTAGAGTGGTCCATCTACGCTCTATGATCTACGTAGAATTAAAACGGCTGATTATGCTCTACGGAAAATGACATGCAGGCCCCCATATTTCCATATCCTTCTCAGGGGAGGAGCTAGTATTATAACAAAAAGAATTTTGTCTGGTTCAAAACTGCTGCTAAAAGATTATGTAATTATAATTAATTCACCCAGAAGGAGTGACGTCTATTTGGCTTTCTGTTTTTTTCTGATTTGTGTTTGTGTGTATCTGTGTGTGGTGTTTCTGCATTGACACAATAATACATGTACTACCAAGTATATTCATCAAATTTAATTCATTCACATGAAACAATTCACCTTCAAGTTGTCATTTCTTCTTTCTCCTTATCCTTCCACTTCTACCATCTGGGGTGTTGCGAGGAGGAATAGTTGGTGGCCAATTCACCTTGCATAATAAATGAAATAAAACATTTTACATACAATGTATACAATATGTATATAAAATACACAATGAATTTTAATTTGGAGCTTTCACACACAAAACTAGTAGCACTGTGCACATAATTCAACATCATATTGAGTAAGTATTGAAGGATATTGAGCGAAATGAAGCCTGCCAGCTCTAGTTCATTGCCTTTTACCACGGTTCACATTAGGCCACACCAATTTGGTTGTTTCTCAGATTCGCCCTATTTTTTTCTGATTTGCAGGTTCTAAATCAACTGCAAAATGCTCAATGAAAGACATATTTTGGCCCCAACGGTTGAAGAAAGTCCTTTTCTTCCTAGTTGTCAAAGTTTATCAATGTAACAATGCCAATTTTGTTTCATTAAAAGTTAAAATCTACTGTTTTCATTATAAACCAGCCTGATATGTTCACTTTATGGCTCATACAGTAACATTTTCGCTATAATGGGATGCCTTGGCCTGTTGTTGGTTATTTCTTTCGCCCTGTTGCTTCATATTTTTTTCTGAAAAAATCAGAGAAACAACAAATTAAATTTGTGTGGCCTTAGGAGTGAAGTACTGTACCTGTATTGGGTATGTCTGTAGCGAGCATGTCTTTCTGTTTGTCTGTATGTTTCTGATCTACTTGCAAAGGATGGGCAAAGGGTGTGAAGTCTGCCATCACTGATTGATTCCTGCTACTTGTTCTGTGTAGACTACAGGGCGACATGGGAAGGAAGCTGCGACACCTGCTGATTTTTCTTCTCATCATCCTGAAGGAGCCCAACATGCCAGAAGCTGGCTGCAGCTGTGAGAAATCAGAACATATATACAACAAAATATACTGCAATTGTCCCAACCTGGGTCTTACTAGCATCCCTCAGAACCTTCCATCATCCACACACACATTAATTTTAGACAATAATGAGATTACTAGTATTCAACCTGGCGTACTCTCAACTCTACCCTCGCTCAGACAATTGTGTTTGCGATCCAACAAAATAACCAGCCTTAAGCTTGGTACACTCTCAAATCTAACCTGGCTCTACACGTTGGAAATTGAGTCCAACCAAATATCCAGCATTGATGTAGGTGCAATCTCAAATCTTCCCGAGCTCAATCGCTTGTCACTTAAATCCAACCAACTATCCATTATTAAGGCTGGCACATTCTCTAATCTACCTTCTCTTGAAAAGTTGGACCTTGCCTCCAACAAGATAACCTGCATTCAGGCTGGCGCATTCTCTAATGTACCAAAACTCTGTTATTTGTGCCTTCGCTTCAATAATATATCCAGCATTCCAGTTGCCGCATTCTCAGGTCTATCCTTGACAACGTTGACCCTTGACAACAATCAAATATCCAGCATTCAGGCTGGCAAATATATACTCGGTATAGTTGAATTGAGAATTGGCTTCAACCAAAATATATCAAACATTCAGGTTGGTGTCTTCTCAAATCTACGCAAAATTCACAAATTGGACCTGTACTACAACAGCATATCCAGACTTCAGGTTGGCACATTCTCAAATCTACCCAAGCTCTGGCGGTTGCAGCTGCAGAACAACAACATAAATAGCATTCAGGCTGGTGCATTCTCAAATCTACCCGGGCTCAAACGGTTGTTCCTGCAGTACAATAAGTTAACCAGCATTCAGCCTGGCACAATACCAAATTTACCAAACCTCGACACTTTGCAACTGTGGAGCAACCCCTGGCAGTGTGACTGTAAGATGGCTCCATTAAGGCAAGCAATAATCAAAAGTTCTAAAGTTTTAAACCTGATATCATGTGTCCAACCTGAAAAACTTTCAGGACAAATACTTAAATATATCAGTCCTGAAGATCTGGTCTGTAATGACCCAACCGAATCAACACCAAGTGTTGAGGCCCAAAGCTCATCTGCAGTAGTGTCAACAGTTTCATTTGGCAGTACAGAAAACAATGTGAGCCCTACAGAACATCATATTGCCTCTACATTTGTCCCACTGATCAGTGATGACCCAACAAAATCAACACCACCTGCAAATGTCCAAAACTTATTTAGCTCATCTGTAGTGTCAACACCTTCATTTGGCACCACAGAAAATGATGTAAGCCCAACAGAACATCCTATAAGCTCCACATTTTCCACACAGCTGGCTGCTCACCAATTGCAAAGCGCAAATAATTGTTACAATGGTACAATCACGACTCAATGGTACTTCAAACGCAATGTTGACTCAACAGTTGACACTGAATGGAAAAGGCCAACAGCTTCAACTGTTGCTGTCACTGGTACCTCTCATGAACCTGGTCCCAGTTTCCCACTAGTACCGGTTGTCACTTCAGCTGTTCTTGGTTCAGTGGTATTTCTCACTGTTACTATCATTTTCACAATCTGGTACAAAAGAAGGGGGAGGGAGTCTGATTCAGGTTTGAACTCCAAACCTGCAGTGCACAACGCAAACACCACAAATGTTGTAGCAACTAGCGGTCATGATCACCAGTATGAAGATCATGGTCAACATGGTCAGACAGGGAAGGGTCAGTCTCAGGCCATCACAAAATCGAAAACAATCACTACAGCTGTTGAAGTAACTAATAGCCAGTATGAAGATGTAGATCAACATAATCAGACAGGGCAGGGCCAGTCTCGGGCCATCACTNTCACCATTTCTACAGCATTGAAAGCAATTTAATTGTATATAACCATGTACCAGTATAAATTATCATAAAGACTATTGATTGATTGATTGACCAATGACAGTCGCTCTTCAAAGACAGGAAAAATGGGTCACATCCCTAAAGAATGGCCAAAACTAAATCTAAAAATGAAATCTCCAACAATATCATCATTTATCAGAGATTCAAATGGTTAAATCTCACAGTTAATTCAAAACAGTAATGTTAATAAAATTTATATTTTCAGAAATAGCTCTATTTGACATGATATAAATCATTCTAACGTCCTCAATGCTACAACTTGCTGCCTAACCCCATAACCAATACACTTTTGGTGCCAAACGGCTACCTTAGCAGGCTGAAGGTTAATCACAAGAGGATGATATGAAATAAAATTGAGTAAATTAACCAGAGGCAGCAGCAAACAACAGGACCTACCTGTAGCAGTGGAGCCGGCTTGTCTGCTGGACTTAGAATCCTCCGAACGAAATAAATCACCACCTATCTATGCCCAATCCTGACACTGCAATGACTTCAAAGTGTAGCCTCCGAAGCAGGCTTATAGAACTGGGGGTTTGGTGGTCTTCGGCTGTTTTCTGATTAGCCAAGAGTTCTAAAAAACAGGGGTAATTCAACCAGGCCGGCTATGTTGTCTATATGCGATCAGAAAATAGCTCATAAAAGCTCCCAAAGACCCTGAAGACACCCCAAACCCCCTCAGTTTTTGGCATGCTATGGAGGCTATTCAAAGTGCCCCGGACGCCCCCTCAAGATAGAAAATAGACTGGGGAGGCCCAATAAAGCAGCCCTGCCCTGGCTTACTGGACCTGCATTGGGCCAAAACGGAAACACCGACAATCCGACATGTAGAGTCAGAATACTGGGAGCAGGGCTCCAAATTCTCCCAGCATTCTGACTCACAGAAAAAAATGAGTGCACAGCTCAAATTTTGGGTGGACTAATTATAAGGTGGACATGACTGGTGCAATGGCCAAGTGGGTAGAGTGCTCGCCTTACATTCGGTAAGTCTCGAGTTCCATCCCCGGCCGAGTCATACCAAAGACTTTAAAAATGGTACATACAGCTTTCTCTGCTTAGCTCTCAGCATTTGAGATGGAGTATGGGAGTGAAACACACACCACTACCAGTGGACTAGCCCCCTGCTGTAGTGATTGCACGACTGTGTGGCCCAAGGGCTACAGAAATGGAGATGGGCACTGCCATATGCAACCATGCTAAAAATGGTTGCTGAGTGGATTTTAACTTTCTAAAACGGTGCACATACACACAGTATTTTGAGCCCTGTGGAGGGTGTTGTCAGCCAGCCGGGCGAAGTATGGAAGACCTCACAGTCTGACGAGTTAACAGGGCTTTGATCCTATTTTTGTAGGACCTGACTGATGCAGGATTACAAGGCAGGAACGGTTTAATGGACTTTCCTCCAGCAGCTACGCACAACTGTTGTGTGACCCCACCGGGGTTGGTTGAGCTCTGAATTGAAGTGTTTTGCTGAGGACATGTAATCTCCAAGCAGATCCCTTTTGGTGGACAAAAAGACAGTATCAAATTGGCCAGGCAGTATCCATTAGCCAGAGAAGGTCGCCGGCCACCGACGGGTTGGTGGGGGTAGCGACAAAAAAACGGCTATATATAAAAAGCTAACGATCATTCCCCCACAACCTCTGCTTGGAGAGTAGAAGACATGCACGTAAAGCCAATTCTCACTAGGGTTAAAACTTACAATTTGAATGTTTTGTTTCAACAAAGGTAATGTTTCTAAGTATGTCCACAGCTGATGATAGCTTGGTATGCCCTCTAGAGGATTCTTCTTAAACTGCAAGAATATCATGAATGACAATGAAGGATCCTTCAAGCTTAAATCAGTTGTCCCTCAAGCTGCAATAATAGCCACAAAACCATCAAGACAAGAAAACCTGTAAAGTACAGTGTTTATGTCAGCTCGATACTTACTTGTACTTGTACTTGAGTAGGTCTCCTCATCTCTGTGAGTGGCCTGCGTCAAAGTCGTCCCTCCGTCTGCACAGCGTCCTGCGCCATACTTGGCAGTCGTGGGCAATTGTCTTCAGGTCCTCTAGGGTCAGACTGGGTTACATATACTCGATAAGTATATGTAAAATGGATATAAATATGAAAACAAGGTGTTATACATTGTACCAGATACTATGACCTAGATCATCAGGCAAAAGTACTATACACCACAAGGGCCTTGCCTACATAATATATGTGAACAAAGCATCATGGGACATTAGAGTTGAGAACATCTGGAGTACTTGTAGAATAAAGTTTCAAGTCGACTCTCACTCCGACTGATCTATCTGCTTGAATCGAGCGTCTATGATAGCCATCCATAGACAAGAACGCACAACATGGTGGCAGCGGTAAACCATTGTTAAGAGGGAGAGGAAGAGAGAAGACTGTGCCAGGGCATTCCTCGGAAAAACAGACCCAGGATGGCAGCAGCAAACGGACACCTCCACCCCTCCATGAACTGGGATGCCGATGACCTANGCTGGTATTAGGTACTTAGTAGTTGGGACATCCACCAGTTTATTAGTCATTTTGTACATCATGCATAGTCTAGACATCTTTCTTCTGTCTTCCAGTGAGGTCCACTGTAGGTTTCTTTTCATTTCCGTGACACTAGCACCTCTTACATAGTTGTTCATACAGAATCTTGCAGCTTGATTCTGTACCCTTTCCAATTTGTCTTTGTCTTTCTTTGTATGTGGATCCCATACTGTCGCAGCGTATTCTAGGTTCGGTCTTACAAGTGACGTGTATGCAAGTGATTTTACTCTAGTTGGACATGCCCACAGATTACGTTTAATCACTCCCAATGTCTGTTTCACCTTAGTTGTGATATTATTAACATGTGCACCCCACTTCAGTCCGCTTGTCAGCGTGACGCCCAGATACGGATGGATTTTTGTGGTTGCTAAAGCCTGACCACAAAACTGGTAGCTAGTTGCATGTGGTGTTCGTTTGTTTGTTCCAACGTAAGCTTAGCTTGTCATAACATACAAGTAGGGGTATAGTATAATATATATATTGGAACATTATTATAATAGTACATGTAGTAGGGGCGTAACAGAGCTTGACATATGACTACAGGAAACTACAGATCAGCATGTAACCTATAATTTAATCCCTCTTCATAGGAGCTTAGTTATCTTTTCCCATACTTGTACTTGTACATGGGTGGTCTGATAGGAGCATACCGGTATAACTTATACTAACAAATTTCTGTCATACTTGGCTTGTATTTACATAGCTTATTATGTCAAGCATGTTCAATCATGTTGCAACTTTGTACTTTGATGAAATTCATCAGCTTGTATGTCTGAGCAGGGATTGACCCTCACTTTGTCAAGGCCACTTAGAACCAAAGACACACAATATTACCAGCCTGGGCCTGTGTTTTGGCAAAGCATCCTACTGAGATAGATAGGTGACAGCTTATCATGACAAGCTGTCATGTTTGACCATGTTTGTACTTTGATGAAGTTCTTCTGTTAGTAAGTGTATGATGAGCGAACCGGTCCTCAAATAGGATGGATACAAGACAGATTCTGTGACAAAGCTGAAATAGATAAATAAAAAAGGTACTAAGAAATGTGATCAACTCACCTGTCCACAGACACTGTCAGCAGCCAGCCCAGATTTCTCTACATCTTCTCCTCTCAACCTTCTTCTTTCTTCTTCCTCCTCATTTCTCCATTCTCTCTTGTTAGTGTCGCATCACACTATTTAGAAAGATGCACTCACTCACTCACTCAGCTCCGCATGCCCCTCCTGGGGAAAGACGCACACAATGTTAAAATTAATATTACTAATACATGTACAATACACTGTTATACAGTACCAAAATGAAAAGAAAAAACCATTCCTTATAATCATCAACTCAAGCTTGGCTGCATTTAGGTACTGAAAATACTTCAGCTACAAATTCTTCCTATTCACCAAGCTTAAGAAAAGTATCAACTTAAAGGTTTACATGCATCTCAAGCAGTAACTTGAATAACATGAGCAAGATGTTATGATGTCAACATTATCAACGTGAACTAAAAGCGCCCCACAGCAGCTGATAGAAAAACTGCACCCAAGGAATTTTCAAGCAGAAAGGCAATACTATTTCATGGGACAAACAAATAATTATTATTCATCATTAACGTTGGTATTAAAAACAGTTACGTGTAGCTGCAGACAATCAAGACACACCCAGATTGCACAAGATTTTTTCAGGCTTGTTTGTCAGACTCCTGTACAGAACAGCTACGCAGAGCTCGCATCGGAGAGGCACAACTGCAGCAGGAACAACACTGCGGAAAGATCGTCATGACCACAAAATAATTAAAGGTTTTCTGACTGGCTTGAAAGGTAAGTCGTGGCTGAAACTTCAGGTAAGGTCTGGTATTTCTGTACATACATGGGAGAATTCAAAGAGGCTGGAATAGAAGATAAATAACTGTAAGAGATATTGTGTATCATGCAAGATTTCTGTTTTCACAGGTTTAGATGTAGCAAAAGGTTTTTACATCATCTAAATATGAGAAAATTCATCCATTTTTCCCCAAGAAAGAACAAAATTTAATGCTATAGCACGATTGTGTTTCTAATGAATTTCAAAAATTGTGTCCATATACGAACTAGGCACAACATGGAAGTACTCAATGCATTCACATAAAACGGCCAAATATTTGCTTTTCTGCTTGTCTCCAAGCCTGAAAATGTAAAATTTGTCTTAACAACTGACACGTCAGCAAAATGCACCAGATCTCAGAGTAAACAACCTGCTAAACATTAATATTCAAACAGTGTAAATCAGACAATCAACCAACTGTATGTATATTCAAAAGACTAAATGTACGGTGGATGATCGCTTTTTATTGCTTCACATTATATGTGGTGATGATTGTTTTTGCTCACGTTTCTTCTCCTCCTTCTCCTGCCATCTCTTTAAATTGATTCAACTCCTTCATTTTTGGGCCAAATGACATGAAATTTGGCATGTAGGTAGTGAGGGCAATACCCCCAGGTGTATTTTTTTCATTTTTGCGATACAGGCTTTTAGAATGGTTTTGTTTTGACTTTTGGCTGTGTTATAGAAAATGTATTATTAACTAGAAAGGCCGACATTTGCTTTGGAGCAAATGTAGCGGATGGCTTCACCACATTTTACGACATGGCAGGGTAAGAAGGAGAAACACAAGGGAAAACAATTCTTTACATTGATATAATTATAGTATGAAGTGACAACAGTTGGATAGCTATCCCCTACATTATTGGTTAGGATTTTTCTGCATGTATGTACTGAATATACTTCAGCTACAAATTCTTCCTATTCACCAAGCTTAAGAAAAGTATCAACTTAAAGGTTTACATGCATCTCAAGCAGTAACTTGAATAACATGAGCAAGATGTTATGACGTCAACATTATCAACGTGAACTAAAAGCGCCCCATAGCAGTTGACAAGAAAACTGCAACCAAGGAATTTTCAAGCAGAAAGGCAAAATACTATTTCAATGGACAAACAAATCATTATTATTATTCATTAATGTTAATATTCAACAAGCTAGCTTCAGACAATCAACACACCCAGATTGCGTAAGATTTTTCCAAGCTTGTTTGTCAGACTTCAGTTCGAAAGAGATACGCATCTAGCTCACATCGGAGAGGCACAACAGCAGAAAGAAGACTGCGGAAAGATCGTCATGACCATAAAATAATTAAAGGTTTTCTGACTGGCTTGAAAGGTAAGTTGTGGCTGAACCTTCAAGTAACAGCTAGTATTTTCTGTACATACATGGGAGAATTCAAAGAGGCTGGAATAGCAGATAGATGACTATAACAGACATTGGGTATCATGCAAGATTTCTGTTTTCACAGGTTTAAAAGGTTTTTACATCATCTAAATAAGAGAAAATTCATCCATTTTTTCCCCAAGAAAGAACAAAATTTAATGCTATGGCACGATTGTGTTTCTAATGAATTTCAAAAATTGTGTCCATACGAACTAGGCACAACATGGAAGTACTCAATGCATTCACATAAAACGGCCAAATATTTGCTTTTTCTGCTTATTCCCAAGCCTGAAAATGTAAAATTTGTCTTAACAACTGACACGTCAGCAAAATGCACCAGATCTCAGAGTAAACAACCTGCTAAACATTAATATTCAAACAGCATAAATCAGACAATCAACCAACTGTATGTATATTCAAAAGACTAAATGTACGGTGGATGATCGCTTTTTATTGCTTCACATTATATGTGGTGATGATTGTTTTTGCTCACGTTTCTTCTCCTCCTTCTCCTGCCATCTCTTTAAATTGATTCAACTCCTTCATTTTTGGGCCAAATGACATGAAATTTGGCATCTAGGTAGAGAGGGCAATACCCCCAGGCTTATTTTTTTTCATTTTTGCGATACAGGCTTTTAGAATGGTTTTATTTGGGCTTTTGGCTGTGTTATAGAAAATGTATCATTAACTAGAAAGGCCGACATTTGCTTTGGAGCAAATGTAGCGGATGGCTTCACCACATTTTACGACATGGCAGGGAAAGAAGGAGAAACACAAGGGAAAACAACTCCTTACATTGATATAATTATAGTATGAAGTGACAACAGTGGGATAGCTATCCCCTACATTATTGGTTAGGATTTTTCTGCATGTATGTACTGAATATACTTCAGCTACAAATTCTTCCTATTCACCAAGCTTAAGAAAAGTATCAACTTAAAGGTTTACATGCATCTCAAGCAGTAACTTGAATAACATGAGCAAGATGTTATGACGTCAACATTATCAACGTGAACTAAAAGCGTCACATAGCAGTTGACAAGAAAACTGCAACCAAGGAATTTTCAAGCAGAAAGGCAATACTATTTCAATGGACAAACAAATCATCATTATTATTCATTAATGTTAATATTCAACCAGCTAGCTTCAGACAATCAACTCACACCCAGATTGCGTAAGATTTTTCCAAGCTTGTTTGTCAGACTTCAGTTCGAAAGAGATACACATCTAGCTCACATCGGAAAGGCACAACAGCAGAAACAACACTGCGGAAAGATCGTCATGACCATAAAATAATTAAAGGTTTTCTGACTGGCTTGAAAGGTAAGTCTTGGCTGAAACTTCAGGTAACAGCTAGTATTTTCTGTACATACATAAGAGGAGGGGCTGGAACAGAGGAATGATGACTTAGTATAAGAGACATTGGGTATTATGCATAATTGCTGTTGGACAGGTTTAGATTAACATGATCATAATGACCATAAAATAATCAAAGGTTTTCTGACTGGCTTGAAAGGTAAGTTGTGGCTGAACCTTCAAGTAACAGCTAGTATTTTCTGTACATACATAGGAGAATTCAAAGAGGCTGGAATAGCAGATAGATGACTATAACAGACATTGGGTATTATGCAAGATTTCTGTTTTCTACAGGTTTAGATGTAGCAAAAGGTTTTTACATCATCTAAATATGAGAAAATTCATCCATTTTTTCCCCAAGAAAGAACAAAATTTAATGCTATGGCACGATTGTGTTTCTAATGAATTTCAAAAATTTTGTCCATACGAACTAGGCATAACATGGAAGTACTCAATGCATTCACATAAAACGGCCAAATATTTGCTTTTCTGCTTGTCTCCAAGCCTGAAAATGTAAAATTTGTCTTAACAACTGACAAGTCACGCAAAATGCACCAGATCTCAGAGTAAACAACCTGCTAAACATTAATATTCAAACAGTGTAAATCAGACAATCAACCAACTGTACATGTATATCAAGAATAAATTAATGTAAGGTGGATGATCGCTTTTCATGGCTTCACCACTACATGTATGTGGTGAAGTGTATATTGTTTTTGCTCACTTTTCTTCTCCTCCTTCTCCTTCTCCTGCCATTCTCTTTAAAATTGTTTCAACTCCTTCATTTTTGGGCCAAATGACATGAAATTTGGCACAAAGGTAGAGAGGGCAAATACCCCCAGACGTTTTTTTTTGGGTCATTTTTGTGATACAGGCTTTTAGAATGGTTTTATTTGAGCTTTTTGGCTGTGTTATAGAAAATGTATTATTAACTAGAAAGGCTGACATTTGCTTTGGAGCAAATGTAGCGGATGGCTTCACCACATTTTACAACATGGCAGGGAAAGAAGGAGAAACACAAGGGAAAACAACTCCTTACATTGATATAATTATAGTATGAAGTGACAACAGTGGGATAGCTATCCCCTACATTATTGGTTAGGATTTTTCTGCATGTATGTACTGAATATACTTCAGCTACAAATTCTTCCTATTCACCAAGCTTAAGAAAAGTATCAACTTAAAGGTTTACATGCATCTCAAGCAGTAACTTGAATAACATGAGCAAGATGTTATGATGTCAACATTATCAACGTGAACTAAAAGCGCCCCATAGCAGTTGACAAGAAAACTGCAACCAAGGAATTTTCAAGCAGAAAGGCAAAATACTATTTCAATGGACAAACAAATCATTATTATTATTCATTAATGTTAATATTCAACCAGCTAGCTTCAGACAATCAACACACCCAGATTGCGTAAGATTTTTCCAAGCTTGTTTGTCAGACTTCAGTTCGAAAGAGATACGCATCTAGCTCACATCGGAGAGGCACAACAGCAGAAAGAAGACTGCGGAAAGATCGTCATGACCATAAAATAATTAAAGGTTTTCTGACTGGCCTGAAAGGTAAGTTGTGGCTGAAACTTCAGGTAAGATCTGGTATTTTCTGTACATACATAAGAGGAGGGGCTGGAACAGAAGAATGATGACTTAGTATAAGAGACATTGGGTATTATGCATAATTTCTGTTGGACAGGTTTAGATTAGCAAAAAGGTTTCATCTAAATAAGAGAAAATTCATCCATTTTTCCCCCAAGAAAGAACAAAAATCGTCATGACCACAAAATAATTAAAGGTTTTCTGACTGGCTTGAAAGGTAAGTTGTGGCAGATACTGGTAAATAACTATAAAAGACATAGGATATCATGTATATTTTTTCTTCTGTTTAGTCTAGATGTAGTTAAAATTTTTAGTAAATGTAAGTTGTAGCTGAACCTTCAGGTAAGCTCTGGTATTTTCTGTACTTACTTGAGAGAATTCAAAGAGGCTGGAATAGAAGATAGATGACTATAACAGACATTGGGTATTATGCAAGATTTCTGTTTTCACAGGTTTAGATGTAGCAAAAGGTTTTTACATCATCTAAATATGAGAAAATTCATCCATTTTTCCCCAAGAAAGAACAAAATTTAATGCTATGGCACGATTATGTTTCTAATGAATTTCAAAAATTGTGTCCATACGAACTAGGCACAACATGGAAGTACTCAATGCATTCACATAAAACGGCCAAATATTTGCTTTTCTGCTTGTCTCCAAGCCTGAAAATGTAAAATTTGTCTTAAAAACTGACACGTCAGCAAAATGCACCAGATCTCAGAGTAAACAACCTGCTAAACATTAATATTCAAACAGTGTAAATCAGACAATCAACCAACTGTACATGCATGTATATTAAGAATTTAAATGTAAGTTGGATGATGGCTTTTTACACACTCAGTTGTTTCATCATATTCACTAAAAATAATCTGAAGGTTAAACCATACATACAGTTTGCATTTTAGAAATGCTAGGAAAAGCTGGTATGAATCTGTGAAGAACATTCCAGTACCCTGTAAGTCTGTACCCCGAAATATTAATATGCAGATAGCCAGGCTCAGACTGATTAAAAACTGTTGATATTTGGGGCCTGCTTGGGGGAGTCCCGACAACGCTCTACGCTAAATTTTGAGAGCTGGCTACGTATTACGCTAAATTCAGGAAACTCTCAATTATTCTTTACATTAAATTCCAAGTGGCTACAATGCATTACGTAGAATTAAAACTGCGAATACGCTCTATGCAAAATGCGCCAATTACGCTCTACGATGAATTAGAGTGGTCCATCTACGCTCTATGATCTACGTAGAATTAAAACGGCTGATTATGCTCTACGGAAAATGACATGCAGGCCCCCATATTTCCATATCCTTCTCAGGGGAGGAGCTAGTATTATAACAAAAAGAATTTTGTCTGGTTCAAAACTGCTGCTAAAAGATTATGTAATTATAATTAATTCACCCAGAAGGAGTGACGTCTATTTGGCTTTCTGTTTTTTTCTGATTTGTGTTTGTGTGTATCTGTGTGTGGTGTTTCTGCATTGACACAATAATACATGTACTACCAAGTATATTCATCAAATTTAATTCATTCACATGAAACAATTCACCTTCAAGTTGTCATTTCTTCTTTCTCCTTATCCTTCCACTTCTACCATCTGGGGTGTTGCGAGGAGGAATAGTTGGTGGCCAATTCACCTTGCATAATAAATGAAATAAAACATTTTACATACAATGTATACAATATGTATATAAAATACACAATGAATTTTAATTTGGAGCTTTCACACACAAAACTAGTAGCACTGTGCACATAATTCAACATCATATTGAGTAAGTATTGAAGGATATTGAGCGAAATGAAGCCTGCCAGCTCTAGTTCATTGCCTTTTACCACGGTTCACATTAGGCCACACCAATTTGGTTGTTTCTCAGATTCGCCCTATTTTTTTCTGATTTGCAGGTTCTAAATCAACTGCAAAATGCTCAATGAAAGACATATTTTGGCCCCAACGGTTGAAGAAAGTCCTTTTCTTCCTAGTTGTCAAAGTTTATCAATGTAACAATGCAAATTTTGTTTCATTAAAAGTTAGGCTACTGTTTTCATTATAAACCAGCCTGATATGTTCACTTTATGGCTCATATTGTAACATTTTCGCTATAATGGGATGCCTTGGCCTGTTGTTGGTTATTTTTTTCGCCCTGTTGCTTCATATTTTTTTCTGAAAAAATCAGAGAAACAACAAATTAAATTTGTGTGGCCTTAGGAGTGAAGTACTGTACCTGTATTGGGTATGTCTGTAGCGAGCATGTCTTTCTGTGTGTCTGTATGTTTCTGATCTACTTGCAAAGAAGGATGGGCAAAGGGTGTGAAGTCTGCCATCACTGATTGATTCCTGCTACTTCTTCTGTGTAGACTGCAGGGCGACATGGGAAGGAAGCTGCGACACCTGCTGATTTTTCTTTTCATCATCCTGAAGGAGCCCAACATGCCAGAAGCTGACTGCAGCTGTGCGAAACCAGGCTACTGCATATGTCCCAACCTGGGCCTTACCAACATCCCTCAGAACCTTCCATCATTAACATACGTGTTAGATTTAAACTATAATGAGATAACTAGTATTCAAGCTGGTGTACTCTCATCTAATCTACCCAGGCTCGCATCACTGAATTTGGGATCCAACAAGATAACCAGCCTTAAGTTTGGTACACTCTCAAATCTACCCGAGCTCCAGACGTTGATCATTAACTCCAACCAAATATCCAGGATTGATGTAGGTGCAATCTCAAACCTACCCAAGCTCCAAAAGTTGTATCTTAATTCCAACCAAATATCCATTATTAAGGCTGGCACATTCTCAAATCTACCTAAGCTCAAATATTTGGACCTTTGCTCTAACAAGATAACCAACATTCGGGTTGGTGCATTCTCAAATCTACCTAAACTCGATTCTTTGTACCTTGACCGCAACCAGATATCGAGCATTCAGTCTGGAACATTCTCAAATCTATCCAAGATCACTAGGTTGATGATTGACCACAACCAGATATCCAGCATTCCGGTTGGCACAATCTCAAATATATATAGATTGAACATTGGCTTCAACCAAATAAAAAACATTCGGGTTGGTGTCTTCTCAAATCTACCCAAGCTTCAACAAGCGCACCTGTACTCCAACAACATATCCAGAATTCAGATTGGCACATTCTCAAATCTACCCAAGCTCTGGTGGTTGGAGCTGCAGCACAACAACATAAATAGCATTCAGGCTGGTGCATTCTCAAACCTACCCGGGCTCAAACGGTTGTACCTGCAGTGCAATAAGTTAACCAGCATTCAGCCTGGCACATTCTCAAATCTAAACAGCCTTTTGTATCTGTGGAACAACCCCTGGCAGTGTGACTGTAAGATGGTTCCCTTTAGGCAAACAATGGTTGAAACTTCTGCAGTTCTAAAACAGGTAACATGTGCTCAACCTGCCAATCTCTCAGGACGAAAACTTAAAGATATCAGTCCTGAAGATCTTGTCTGTAATGACCCAATTGAATCAACATCGAGTGTTGAGGCCCAAAGCTCATCTGCTGTAATAGTGTCAACATCCTCATTTGGCAATACAGAAAACGATGTGAGCCCAACAGAACATCATATTGGCTCTACATTTGTCACACTGATCAGTAATGACCCAACAAAATTAACACCACCTGCAAATGACCAAAACTTATTTAGCTCATCTGTAGTGTCAACACTTTCATTTGGCACCACAGAAAACGATGTAACCCCAACAGAACATCCTATAAGCTCCACATTTTCCACACAGCCTGCTGGTCACCAATTGCAAAGCGCAAATAATTGTTACAATGGTACAATCACGACTCACTGGTACTTCAAACGCAATGCTGACTCAACAGTTGACACTGAATGGAAAAGGCCAACAGCTTCAACTGTTGCAGTCACTGGTACCACCCATGAATCTGGTCCCAGTTTCCCCCTAGTACCGGTTGTCATTTCAGCTGTTGTGGGTTCAGTGATACTTCTCGCTATTGCTGTCATTTTGACAATCTGGTGCAAAAGGAGGGGGAAGGATTCTGATTCGGGTTTGAACTCCAAACCTGCAGTGCACAACACAAACACCACAAATGTTGTAGCAACTAGCGGTCATGATCACCAGTATGAAGATCATGGTCAACATGGTCAGACAGGGAAGGGTCAGTCTCAGGCCATCACAAAATCGAAAACAATCACTACAGCTGTTGAAGTAACTAATAGCCAGTATGAAGATGTAGATCAACATAATCAGACAAGGCAAGGTCGGTCTCGGGCCATCACTGAATCCAACAGAAAAACATCACCTGTAATAACTAGACATGATTCTGAACACCAGTATGAAGATTTAGACACACCCAGACATAATCAGAAAGGGCAGGGCCAGTCTCAGACCATACCTAAATCCAACACAAAAACAGAGGCTGTTGTAACTAGGGGTCACCATCACCAGTATGAAAATCTGAAACAACAGTATCATACAAAGCCGAATGCCCTAAACTCAAATGCTGAATCCTTGGACAGCAAAAGTCCATTATATAATGCGAGGCAAACTGCCTCAAACATAGCCACTGATTCCTTGGACAATAAAAGTCCATTAAATGTTGACAGCCATTCCAACGGTGGCAAGTCTACCGGTCCACTATATACCACTGGGTCCTTGCACACTAGAAGCCCATTATATAATAGAGGGCGACAACCAAACTATGTAGGTGTGAAAAGATCACAAGAGGAGCCAAAACCTACAGAAATAGCCAGTGGTCATTATCAGACAGCACTGGGTCAGTATCAGGCCACAACTCAATCTTTGGATATTAAAAATTAATATTGCGCTAACAATTGCTAGCGGCCTTACAGACAAATCCTATGTATGTAGGTGTGGAAACAACAGAAAAGGAGCCAAAACCTACAGAAATAGCCAGTGGTCATTATCAGACAGGAGTGGTCAGTATCTGAGGCCTTGGATCTTCAATCCTTGGAAATTAAAACAAAAAATATGGTGTGAACCATTGCTAGCTGCCCTACAGATAAATCCTACATGTATGTAGATGTGAAAACACCACCAAAGGACCCAAAAACTACATAATACAAACATAACCAGCTAAACTGTCCTTGAATCATGTCAGAAATCCATGAAATACCACAGGGCCAACAGAGTGCCATGCAGGCTGACAAGTCTGAAGATATGGGGCCACCACCACCAACCCCAAACCTTAAAAGGTTCAGCTTGAAAGAAACCTTCCAATCTAAAATTAGCAATAGGCTCTTAGACCACCGAACAGAAACAATTATCTGAAAGATGAACTTCTACAACCACCCACCCCTCTCCTTTTAAAGGCCCTGCACGCACCTTTTCCATAGGTGGGGGCCTGTATGCCATTTTTCGTAAGGCCTTTTTAGTCTTCATAATCCGTAGGCAGCCTCCCAAAAAGTTGTAATCAGCTCTGAGACTTTAAAATAATGGGCAGCGAAAATTTGGCGTAATTCGTAATCACTACCCCANAACCCCCCCCCCCCCGAAAAACTCAATTTCCCATCCAAGCCAGCCTAGCGGGGACCAATAGGCAGGCAGCATTTCGGCCACACACACAACCCACGCTTTAGCAAAATATGGTTGAAAAAGATGTTTATTAAACTTGTTCAAAAGATACATTTGTGAATTGTTTTCTGAAATTCTGTGTCTTTGAATAGCTGGAGCAAAATAACTACCGAGCCGAGTTAAACCATTTCGGCACTGGGCTTCTGGTGCTTACGTCGGCCGCGCGGCGTACAGAACAGTATCTTAGACCAAGTCTTTGTCTGTGAAAATGTAAGAAAAGAGGCTGTGCAGTCCTGTCCTGCCGATAACCTTCTTGTCCCGATTAAACTTTGTAACCCAGGCGGTATGATCTCGAAAATACCTCGATACCCTTTTAAAGACAAGGTTTGATTTGCCGATTCCGAGTTTCCAGTGCTGAAGCTGCCGACACTGGGCACCAAGTGTTGACGTACTTTCGGCACTGGAGATCTTGGACGGAAGCAGCCTCACCTCTGTATACTGAGTGCTGAGAAAGGAACCCGTTACTTTGGTACTTGCATTATTTTCACCCCAAATACACCAATTCTTACATTGTTTATCTGACATTACCAAATCAGATTACCTGCCGCGCCGTACGGAAGGATGCTGTTCAACCCTATTGTCGAATGGAATCGCCCGTAAAGTGGGCGTGGCGCGGAATGCTGGTCACCCATTGGTCACCGCTAGGCTATGTGGATGCGAAATTGATCTAGGCACCCCCCCTTCAGTTTCTGGCCATTTGTAGGAAAGCTGTAGGGTTTATCCCAGTAATTTATAGTGAGGTAGCCAAAATTGGCACACTTGCATTTTTTTTAATTTGACGTAATGAATACTAACAAAGGCAGTCCTCCTGAATTCATCTCCAACTATTGTGCAGAAGTAGACCTGTAAGGCCTATAAGGGCTATAGAAATAGAGATGTGCACTGGGTTATGCTGACAGGTGTGAGAAAGATTTTCCCTTGCTTACTGAATGGGCAACTTACTCACAAAATTAGTCATATGTTCCTCAGCACACAAAAAGTAAGCATTACAAAATGGGATCACATTCGAGACACATATTAAAACAGGCTTTTCAAAGATATGAAACACAATCAATAAGTAAACAGACGTGTAATCAAAAGTCCCAGTGATAAAAGCAGCCCTGGTTCATCTAAAGAATCATACTTAGTGTCGCAAAGTAAAAGTATTATATTATGAAAAACTTAAACTGTTCTCCAACTCAAAATTTGACTCAACAGAAATTTTCGACTGAATCACTCAGTCTTCCTCAGCTATCTGACCCAAATGCTGTGGACACATGATTTTTCCCACGTGTGACGTCAGCAAAGGGTCAAAGGTTGTCTTAAGCCGATATCGCCCCCCGTCCTGGTTGAGCAATGGTTGAAGTGCCCTGATGTATATGGCCTCTTTTATGCCTCTCTTGAAGTATACTAACACGTCACACGTGGGAAAAAATCACGTGTCCACAGCATTTGGGTCAGATGGCTGAGGAAGACTGAGTGATTCAGTCGAAAATTTCTGGTGAGTCAAGTTTTGAGTCGGAGAACAGTTTTTCATGATGTAATTTACCAACTCAGATGAACTTTCATGCTGATCAAAGTATTATAGTAAAGGTTGAAGTATAATGACAGATGTGATCAAGGAAATTCGAAAGTTTTTGTGTTAGGTTTGATTAGTTCTGTTATACTGTACAGAGTGGAGATCAGCATCTGATTCAATCGGCTGCAGTGTAAGGGTATGTAACTCCTTATTTTGTACTTGTTTAGCACAGAAAACAGTAATGTGCAGGAAATCAATAACATTTATGATAATACTTCAGAATCTGTACAAATAAGCAATCATGCTCAAGGCTGGAAATACTGGGTGCATGTGCACCTTAGTGCACCCAAAACTGAAGCTGTACAGTGTACAGTCACCCAATATTTTTCTATGGGCTCTGGTAGATGTTTTTGTAGTTGTACATGTTAAATGTATAATAGTATACAGGATATTCTTGGCATCTAAGTGTCAGAAAAATGATAAAATCTTTGTTGTACTACTTGTGTAAGAATTTGAAGTTAGCTCCCATTTCAGATTCAAGCTTAGAAGAGGAGAAGAAAGATCTGTAAATAGGTTTTGTTTTATATGGTGCACCCAAAAAATTTTTGTGTACCTAATATCTTAGGTTGGTTGCACCAGTGCAACTATTCCCATAATGAATTTTGGGTCCTGGTGCTTATAAACCTGCAATTCTCCTGCATTTAGTCTCTTAGTGTCACCGACGAAAGGTAGTGGATGCTACCTGAACCATCTGACCATTTCCAAAATCATATCCAGTTGCTTGTCACTAAGTAACTGCTTTTTGGCATGAATAAACAATCAACTTGTAAGCATTCCAAATGCCGATCACATTGCTGGTCACTCTAATACTTCTGAGTATGTTTCATTACTAATTTGTTATTTAATGATGTGAGATTAATGTTTATTCAGCTATCAGTGATACATGTTTATCTTTTATGTTAGATGAGCAATAACTCTTGTCAATTTGCATTTATTGTATGCCATGCTAGTGGTTGAGCCAGTAAAGGTGAGTCTCACCCATCTTTCAGCCTAATGTGGTAGCCTTTTGGCACCAACTTTGTTGTTCTGTATCTGTATCGGTATAACCGGTATAACCGCCCTTCGGCGTAACACACCAGCTTCTGTGTCTGTATAGCCGGTATAACCGCCCTTTGGCATAACACACCAGCTACTGTATCTGTATAGCCGGTATAACAGCCCTTTGGCATAACATACCAGCTTCTGTATCGGTATAGTCGGTATAACCGCCCTTCGGCGTAACACACAGCTTCTGTGTCTGTATAGCCAGTTTAACAGCCCTTCGGCATAACACACCAGCTTCGCAGGCATGCGGCGCGGCGGCAGCTAGATATATCACACCGAGTGACTTGTTACACTTAATCTTTGCACTTTTGATTGCAGGAGTTGTTTAAAGCTTTCTAGTGATGATACCTCAACTGTACTTGGTGGCAACGAGTTCCAGTCTACGATAGTTTGGGGAAATACAAGTTTTTGAATACCTCAATTCTTGGTTGATAACTCTGATATTTGAAGGCATGACGGGGTTAGGCAGCAGGGAAAGGGTTAAATGGATAATTGTAGGAAATGAAGCTAATGCCTTTATTGTTCAATGATAAGTACTACAACTGAAGCTTGTATATGTAGTAACATGTTAAAACAACATGTAGTAGAAAGGTTTTTCTTCATAAGGCCACACCAATTTAATTTCTTGGTTAATGGATTTTTCTAGAAAAATAATGGAGCGGGCGGGCGAAAAAAAAATCGTAGTCATCCTATTATGGCCCAAAATGGTACAATAGGAGCAATGAATTCAACACACCAGTCTGGTTCAAAATTTACAATGAATTTTGAACTTTTAATGATACCACTGCATTGAAAGATGGAATAATTGTTACAGTAACAACTAGGAAGAAAAGGACTGTTTTCAACTGTTCAGGGCAAAATATGAGCATTTTGCAGTTGATTCTGAATTTTTTTTGGCAAATCAGAAAAAAATGAAGCGTGTGAATCCGTTAACCAAGACATTAAATTGGCGTGGCCTAAGTACTAGTAACATGATTGTACCATTTATTGCTTCTACAATCTTATTATAATATGATGCATTTATTGTTGGTAAGTACTGAGTACTGAAGCTTGCATCTTAATAAGTAACTTAAAATTCAACTTAAAATCTGTAACATGTTCAATTAAAGAAGTGTTTAGAAGACAGGTTCTTTTTAAATTTATAAAGCAACATAATTGTATTCCATATTGCTCCAACAGTTTTTGTATGATGGCAGATTGTGCAGTACATTTGCTGGTCCAGAACTGAGTGAAATGAAATTGAATGAACAATTTGTATGTATGTATGAGGATGGTTCCAACTCTAGGAATATCGGCTGAAGAAGCGATATACAAGTTATACATGTAATAAGTATGTTGATGTGTATAATTTTCAGAAGTCATGGTTTATAGACAGATCTTTTTGATTAGAAGAATTTGTCACAGTTCTTTTGACAAATTTTGAGACATTTTAACAGCATGTGCACATATTCTAAATGACTGTATTTTCTTGCAATTGTGAAGCTTGGTTCTACAGTTGAAGAAATGAAGAAAAAAACACTGATTGTGATCAACATGGATAACAGCAGACATGGTTTGAACAGGGTTCAATGGTAGGAAATAAGTAAGGAAATGAGTAATCAAATGCCTCTACTGTTCATTATGGTAAGTACTGTACTGCATATATGTACTGAAGCTTGCATGTAGTAAGTAACTAATCAATATCTGTAACATGTTAAAACAACAACATGTACTAGAAAGGTTTTTCTTAATAAGGCAACAGCAAGTAATTTTTATGGATGACATCAGCGCGCGCATTAATTTTCGCCTGATTTTGAAAAAAAAATTGTTGCCTTCTGAAAGTAGTCAACATGACAAAAATGAGCAAAGACATCTGTTGCCATGCCGGAAGGTGGATGGCAGATAACTATGAAGACAGGAGTTAAGACTAGAAAGGCCAATATTTGCTTTGGAGCAAATATAGCGATGGGTTCACCACATTTTACCACATGGCAGGGAAAGAATGAGAAACACAAGGGAAAACAATGCTTTACATTGATATAACTATAGTATGAAGTAACATACAACTAAGACTACAACAGTTGGATAGCTACTTCCTACATTATTGGTAGGATTGCATAATGCAAACTGTTGATTTCAAGATAAAAGAAGCGTTCATAGCCCGCATTCCAATGCTGGAGCAGGAAAGACTTAAAATACCTAACCAAACACTTGAATACAGACATACTGTCAGTATGGCATGGCTCTGTGCAGGTGTAAATGAAGTTAAGCCAGTTAAATCCCAACAGCCAATCAGCAAGGAGAATAGAGGAAAGCTGCATGCCTATTCGGTTGATGCCTTGCATGCCATTGTGATGACTCATGTCCAAATGTGGTAAACACTGCACACTTACACAGTAATACATTAGCTATTACACAGCCAAAAAACTCAAATAAAACCATTCTAAAAGCCTGTATCACAATAATTTAAAAAACGCCTAGGGGTATTTGCCCACTGTACCTCCATACCAAATTTCAGGACCTTAGGCCCTAAAATGAAGAAGCTGAATCCATTTAAAGATATGGCAGGAGGAGAAGGAGGAGGAGGAGGAGGAGAAGAAGAAACATCAGAAAAAGCAATATGGTTTCACCACACCACTTCGTGGTGTGGTGAACCCATAAAAAGGCTTCGATTTAATGTTTTGTTTCCTACTTTGATGCAGTGATATGTGATGCTGGCTGTGTATATGTGATGTTCCCACGGAATAAAAACCATTTGTACAATGAATGAGTCAAAATTATAAAATGTAGGAACCTTGTTTTTTTGCTCGCCTTGTTTTTTTTTGGCCTGCTCGCATTAGATATGGAATCTGCGGGGGATGTCATCCACAAGATTTACTTGCTGAGGCCACTGTGAAGCAGATGTGTAAAATTGAGATTTAAGAGAGATCTTTCGAATAAGTTCTTATGTAACTGTAAGGGATGTTTTTAAAAATTCTTGAAACAGCACTTAGTTTACACCTTTTGCAGGTCTATTTGTGAAGCTTGGTTCAACTTATAGTCAATAAAGAAAATCACTGCACATTATGGAGGCTTTTCATTCATTTTGTTTTTAATATCCAGCAACTTAAGCCATAGTTTGGGCCTTTCCAATTTATCTACTTGGTTCTTGGACACTTCAAACTTCAAAGTAAATGATGTATCAAGATATCATGAAAGCAATTACGTTTTAAACAAAAAATGACAAACCAAAAAACTGATACTAGTGAATGAATGAATGAATGAATGAATGAATGAATGAATTCAAGTCTGAATCAAAAGATCAGACTGGAAACAGCAGCAAATTAAAGAACTTAATACAAAGTTGTACATAACACAATCAGTACAGAAGAGTCAAAAGTGCACAAAGTCAACTCAAATTGTCAAAAGTACATAAATGCATGATGATGATGATGACTTAAATGCAACTCAGAGGTTAAACATGTGAACGAGTCCGGGAAAGAGAACACCAGAGGAGAAACTTGTGAATAAAAATTCACTAGTATTGGGAGCCTGGGAGATGCTATCAACTCACCTGTCGAAGGCCACATCCCCTGTCTTCCCTTACTCGCATCATGACATCTGGACCTGTCCCCTTCTCTTCCTCCTTCTCTTCCTCCTCTTTCTCCTCCATCAGTTCATGGAGGTTCCTCTGATCAAGGACATGTGCATGGGACAAGGACCCTGTGTGGCACTCTGGATAAATTTTCAATGGAGTTACAAATAAAATCAAACAGTAAGTTTTTTAAAAGTTATAAGCCTCCCTCTGAACTGAACCCATCGTCTACTGAGACGGAAGGAAGCCTTTATAGAAGCTTCTAAGGAAAAGTAACTTGGTAGCCTCCATAACAGGCTTATAGAACTGCGGGGTTTGGTGGTCGACGGTCTTCGGCTGTTTTCTGATAAAAAAGGGAGTAATTCAACTAGGCTGGCTATGTTGTCTATATGCAATCAGAAAATAGCACATAAAAGCTCCCAAAGACCCTGAAGACCCCCACAAAACCCCCAGTTTTTGGCATGCTATGGAGGCTAGGATTTATATGGATTATAGGTTCAACGTTCTACAGTGTTGTTCGCTGGCATATGGGATAAAACCTCAAGAAAAAAATCCATTTCCAGCCAAACACAATTACTCAGAAGACAACTTAACAAAGTTTGTTTTGCTGACCAACAACTGGACTCAAGTGCAATCCATCGTTATATTCCTGTACCTTAAAATTTTTGTTGTCGTTGTCATACCTTCTTGAGTTCTTCGGTCCTCTCTGACTCTGACCGCCCGCCGTTTTGAGTTGACCCCGAACCTTTCACCTTTGACACGCTAGATTTGAGAGATTTGGACACACGATATATCGATAACAATAATATCATATCTTACAGAAAGCTTAACTGATGATTGCAATAGCTACAACATGTTCAATGAGCCACAATGTATATTGCAAAGCTTTCGTGGAAGTTCGAATTCAAGGCTAAGCGTTATAAGATCTTATAACGGTTAAACAACACACAAAATAAGGTTAACATTAGCATATTAGCAAATAGCACAAGTTCTATGTATGTAAAAGTTAGCATACATCGTACGAAAGAGGTTTAACCTGACGAAAATGGCCAGCAATAAAGTTCTTGATCAGACGACGTCCTTGTGCATGTGGCTTCCAATCCCTTATAAAAAAACTGTCACCCCCACAATAGAGTGGACTCGCTCTACTGACGTCACCAGCCTTGGTTAAACCAAAATGAACATGTTTACAGGTTTGCGATAGCAAAACCTGTTCTATTTTACCTGGATTTTATGGGCGCCGCCATTTTGTTTCCCGTCATGCAATGGGGCAGGTCAAAGTTGAGTGAGGTGCATTGTGGGACCTGTCACAGGCCTACAGTGTAAGGACGACACCTAGCGGTATGTTTGGAAAGAGCAGTAACTGAAAGCCTACCTGGTTGTGTGTTCATTTTGGCAGAAGTGTATAGAGGCGATGGCTTTGACGTAATAAAGGCGAGTCTGATTGTGTTTAGCACTTGACGTAATTTTCTTAGCATGACGGGAAGGAAACTTGGCGGACCTAATGCGGCGGAACTTTAAAGTTGTTTTTTTTTATGATGAGATGGTGAGGCTTTGGTATTAGTAGGGTGGTCTTGAGGATCTTGTCGAGGCCGAGCCTAGGGACGACAGATTGTCCTCAAGTACAGGGGTTAGTAGGTGGGATAAGTGGCATGAAGTTTTGGTATGAGTACACTTCCTGATTTCAAGTTCATTATGGAAATTGTAAGTTTTTTTTCAAGCTTACCAGTCCATTATACAGTGACTGTATAGGCGTTTGTAAACGTTTTTACGACCTGCCTTTCAGGCTGCTTGAACTTAACAATGCCGTCGCTTGCGACTCTCCATCTGTCTGAAATCCCCTGTCCTCCACCCAACCAAGGAACATAATTGAAGTATCTGATCAAAACGTTAATTATAGCTCACTTTCAACCTATCCTGATCTAATCTAATTGTCATATCCCATAGCTCTGGTCATATCCATTAAATGACACCTTTTCCTTCTGTGTGAGGACTTCTGTGTGGGGTGAACATTTTTCCACGACATACTATACACTTGTGGGATGACCCGAGGCTCGGTGTGTCAACTCAACGGAAGCTAGCCTTGCCTACAGGTCAGCCAACTGCGCGACCCGATCTCCTACCTCTAATTTGCAGCCGTCAACTTCAATTGTAGGTTTTGCCCAGAGGGGCACGTCTGAGTCTACACATTAAGTTCTAGCTGTATAACCTCTACCAGACTTCAGGAGACAGCTCAGGAAAGGGGGCCTGCAAGGGGGGTCCCGACAACGATCTATGCTGAATTCGGAAACTTCTCGATTTTTTAATACGCTTTACGATAAATTCCAAGTGGCTATAACGCATTACGTAGAATTAAAACGGCGAATATGCTCTACAGAAAAGGGCTTGCGGGCCCCCCAGGAAAGAGTAGAAATTGACCAGATAAAAAGAAAACATGCCAGTGCAGGGGATCCGGAGTTGGTCCGCTAGAGGGTAAAGCGAGGCGAACCGTATATTCTCTGTTTGTGAACAGCATAACTCAAGAAGCTTAATATGCATTGCCATGAAACTTGGTAGGTGGGTCAAGGTCTTCATAAGAGCTAGGAATGATTAGATTTTGGGCCCCCTGGCGGCTTTCCTAGGTACTGCAGCAGAACTTCCGGTTTTGATATCTCGCGATCTGGACATGCTAGGGTCATGAATTTTGCTTGGTAGATAGCTCTTGGGGTAGGGAAGACGTGACATGAATTTTGCTTGGTAGATAGCTCTTGGGTGGGAAGACGTGACATGAATTTGTTGGTAGATAGCTCTTGGGGTAGGGAAGACGTGACATGAATTTCGGTAGGTAGGTAGCTCTTGGGGTAGGGAAGACGGTGACATGAATTTCGGGAGTTCGGTACGTGGGTCGGTGGGTCGGGAGTCCGGTACGTGGGTCAGGAGTCCGGTACGTGGGTCGGGAGTCCGGTACGTGGGTCGGGAGTCCGGTACGTGGGTACGCCCGCCGGTACTTGACTTGGGCACGCCCGCGTGGGTCGGGAGTCCGGTACTTGGGCAGGCCCGCCCGGGCACTTGACTTGGGCAGGCCCGCCCGGGCACTTGCGCTTGGGCAGGCCCGCCCGGGCACTTGGCTTGGGCAGGCCCGCCCGGGCACTTGCGCTTGGGCAGGCCCGCCCGGGCACTTGCGCTTGGGCAGGCCCGCCCGGGCACTTGACTTGGGCAGGCCCGCCCGGGCACTTGCGCCCGGGCACTTGACTTGGGCAGGCCCGCCCGGTACTTGACTTGGGCACGCCGCCCGGTACTTGACTTGGGCACGCCCGCCCGGTACTTGGGTACGCTCGTTCGGTAGGTAGGTAGTTCGGTAGGTAGGTAGGTAGGTAGTTCGGTAGGTAGGTAGTTCGGTAGGTAGTGGTAGTGATTGGTTTTATTTCTCAAAGATTACAGTTTCGCAGTGCTTGGTGTAAACCCGCACTGAATTGCACTGCTAAAACAATGGGTTACAAATTATTAAAGAAATACATAAATTATTAATAAAATAATTAATAACATAAATTATTAATAAGATAACCTCTGAGTAGACATTGTCAGAGGTTAAATACATAGGTTAAATACATATCGTGCATACAGATTTCAATAAGCCTATTATTAATACATTATTATTGATGACTTGTCATAAATGTGTATATTCAAACATATTAGTTCGGCATTGCATAGTGCTGGTTGAACTATTTTGGGGGACTAGAAATTTAATATTAGCAATCATTGATACATTCGAGTCAGGGCCGTTGTAAAAAACATTATGAGAAAATAATCTCCAATTATTGATGAATTCTCGTATCATGCAATGGTTGAGACCATACGTCAAAATCTAATACGTTCAAGGTGATAATTCAGGTCAGGTAAAGATCTTTACATAAGAATTAAAATCTAATGAATTTCTTCTCCCAAACTTAACATATGTGCATTACAACATATTTGAATCGAAACTGCAAATACTGGTTGCATTATTGTTGAAGAGTGTTACAAGATAGGGTATGGGACTATTCCTGTAACGATTAGTTCGTGTTTTAATAGTGTCCAATAGGCTGCTGTTTCTTGTTCTTCTACCACTGACGTCTCCCCGGAAGGGGGGTAGCCAATTCCGGTAGGACTCAGACTGTACATGTAGTAGTCTTCTTGCGAATGTCTGACAAAGGTGTTCACGTCTTTGCTGTAGTGTCATGAGGCATAGCGTGTTGCAAGCGTCAGTATAGGTTGTGTAGTCAGGCCCAAGGATGATTCGAAAAGCCCTTCGCTGTATTCTTTCCAGTTGACGTCTTTGGGACTGTGTAATGGCTGGTTGCCAAACTGGGACAGCGTACTCACAAGTGGGTCGGACAAAACTTGTATATATGGTGACAAGATCTTCTCTAGTAACTCCGAAAGATTTGAGTCTTCTCAAGAAGAAAAGCCTCTGGCTTCCTTTCTTGGCCATGTGGTCCACCTGGGTGTTTCATTTTAGGTCAGCTTGTATATGGAGCCCCAGGAGTTTAGCTACTTGAACTTGTACTAGGGGGTAGTTGTCAATTTTTAGTGAGGGTAGTGGTGGCACAGTTTTTGAGAAGTGCAGAAACATCACCTTGCATTTGCGAGGGTAGGTAGGTAGGTAGTTCGGTAGGTAGTTCGGTAGGTAGGTAGGTAGTTCGGTAGGTAGGTAGGTAGTTCGGTAGGTAGGTGGGCAAGGCGTGGGGAGGGCGCTGTTGACGCCTGCATGACCCTCAAAAGGTTAAAGGTCATGGGGCATAGAGAAGTCATAAAGAAGTGAAATTTTGTTTTGGGTGTAACTATTGTTCTTTTGTTAGTATATTGATGACGAAATTGTTTACAAGGTAAGTGGGGATTAGAAAAGGATGAGAAGGAACCCTGTAAAAGGTAAAGCACACACAAAAAACATATTGTAAGTTACACTACAATGACTATGTACAACGCAAACCTGTCTATATTAGCAACCGCTAATATTACTATCTAGTTTTGTGTTTATTTTACAGTATTACAAACCACTGATGATTAATACAGTACCTATGACATATCATAATCACTCTCAGGCATTCACACAGTTTCTAAAATCACCAATGTTCGCAGGATTTGGGCGTCAAATGTGACTTTAAATTTGGGTGGTATCCCATGCTGCACTGCGGGCATCATGGCGGCGGTAAGCAAGGCTCTGGCGTCTGTAGACGATTGAAACACAGAATTCAGCCGAGATTAGCGTCTGATGGAGGTGAGTAGGGCTTGTTGGCACTGATATCGGTTCTTGAGTATCCTTTCTTTCCGCTGCGTGGCACAGTTTGCCGCTAACAGCGCCAGATTGTGCAAAAACACGATGTCAACATTGGCTCAAAACAAGCTTCACGTGTGTGAGGTACGCGTCTTGTCCAGTGCAAAGCGAAAGTATCCCACACTCTCCAGCGAGTTTAGACTCTTCCTCTCTCAGTTTTAGATGTTTGTTGCGTCGACGGTAGACGCTATGGTGTCCTAAAACACCAGGGACGTAGCGGGAAACGTTGGGGAAAAATGTGGATGTGTTCACCGGTGTTTTTTTCAGTCGTGGGTGTGTCTGAAGTTTAGGAGCTTTAACTCCAAGTAGGCTAGAGAACCAGAGATGTCTCTAATCCTGGGAGCCAGACTGTTACCAGGGCCAGTATACAAGCCAGTTCCTCGGCTCCAGGGCCAACATGTTCCCAAGGAAATTTTACCAAATACACCTCTCATCTCAGTTAGACTTAGAGCAAATACACAGGGCAGTCCCCAGTTAGTTAGACCCGGTACTCTGAAAACAGTCTGAAATCTAGTTTACGAGAGATGCACTTGACCAGTATTGCACTATGTCCTACAAAAACATTATTCTTTATTGGGGAGTTTTTTGTTGGACTTATGATGTAAGATTCGATCAAGGAAGCCGTTATTAACAATCTGGTGTCGTGAAATCTGTTTTAAATTTTGTTTTTAATCCACAGAAGTTATGTAGGTCAAGTAATGAAGTAGAGCGTACATCACTACATGTGATGATCGTGACTGTGAGAGATCATGTAACACAGGCTAATGTTATCCCCCATCTCTCCGCAGGTTTGAAGGCTAACAGAGTCTGCATCAGGAGTGTCCAGTTCACCATCAGGAGTTTGTCTGTAGTGTAGATCTGCCTCAGCTGTTTGTTTGTTTGTTTGTTTGTCCATCATGTCGACGGGATCGTCTGACAAGTCCTCGGACCCTCCGACTCCCCAGTCCCCCGGGCCAGACCCAGTCCACGATCTGCCGGAGGAGGTGCTCAGGGTAGGTTTCTAACTTAGTAAGGCCATGTTGATTTGATTATATGGATGACATCAGGGTGCGCATGAATTTTTGTCTGTTCCACCCCCACCCCAAAAAAAATGTTCAGGGGTCAGGGCTCAAAACAAGTGTAGATAACTATCATGAAAGTTTATCTGTGTTGGTAGTTACAACTTATATGTTTAAAGTTAAAACTTTTGGTCCAACACAAAAAATTCTCTCACCTAGAGCTTTCAACCAGTCACTCACTGGGTCAGTCTACTGAGGAAGACCAGAGTGACTGGTCGAAAGCTATAGGTGAGAGAATTTTTTGTGATGGACCAAAAGTTTAAACTTTAAACAAGTGTAGATAACATTAAAAATTGCCTTTACCACAATTTAGGAAATATCATGTTGGTACTATATTCGTAGGTTACTGGTATACCAAACGTAAAAGAGTAGTTGCTCAGGGCACATATCTAGTCTGCAAAATATAAGTATCTAACTTAGAGAAAAGATCACAGGTAACATTAAAAATGACCTGCACCAGACTAATGTTACCTGTACCACAATTTAGGTATTAAGACTAAAGTATGACTTATACTAAAAGTAAAAGAGTGGGTGAAAATAAAAGGGTGCTCAGGGCAGGTACGTAAGAGACACAGATGATTTGTGTAACACAATGTTGGGGTAACAAAACGTATAGTGGACATAAAATGAAAATGGCTGGAGCACCAACAGAACCCAGAATGTCAGTGTGATCAATCAAATATTTCAGACAGTGAAATGAAATTGAACACAATATCATCAAAGATACCGCAATGTTATGTACATTGTTATGTTTTCTCAAATGTATTTTATGTGCAAATAACGAGCAACTGTTTGTTTGTTTGTTTGTTTGTTTACCAGGCGGGTTGGCGCCGGTTCTGGAGTAAGCGAGAGAAGAGATGGTACTTCTTCAACAAGATGACAGGAGAGTCTCTGTGGGAGATGCCGGTGGTCCACAAGTCTCCACATAACGGGGTGCCAGGATCAGACAGGGTGGTACGTATATTTTAACATCACAAAGAAACAAGAAGAAGCCGAACCTCTGTATTAGTATAGTTTTAGAGCTGTTAGTACTACAAACATGTATATTACCTTTTCATCTGTTCTCCTGTACTTAGCCCGATAGGGCATGAATGTACAATAAAGGTTATTATTATTATTATACATGTACTTATCAAGTTGTAGGCCTTTCCTCGGTCTTATAAGACTATGAAGATACTTCTTCTACACCATGTACTTATTCTTTGTTTAATACGCTTAAAGCGTCTGAGTTCTGATGCGAGTCTCTGTTTTTCTTCCCCCCGATGTAACCCCTTCTTTTAAAACTTCCTGTCTCCAAAGCGTTCTGTTTGTTGTAAGAGTCTCCCATGTGTTAATATCTATGTCTGTGTCTTTCATGTGCCATTTGACTACGTCCTTAAAGTGCATGTAAGGACAACCACGTGGCTGTTATCAAGTAATCAAGTAGTAATACTGTTTATTTACTGTATCTATCAGTCTTTGATAGATATGGATATCTTAGTGCCTTCAGCCAAATAGGGCAGATTTCCACATGAGCTCGTGATAGACAAAACAGTGTGGCATGGGTAAGGGGTTGAAGTCTGCCATCTCTGCCCCCCCCAGACGGATCCTCTTGGCATCAGCGTCCCGGACACTCCAACGGACGTGCGCTCGCCGCCGCCCTTTGACCTGAAGCGGAGGCGCGACTCGGAGGCCAGCGTCACGAGCCTCGGGTCCATGAGCCCCAGCAAGAAGATGAAGCTGGAGGGACCGTAAGTACAGACTGCTGGTCCTTTACTTAGGCCAATATATACAGTATGTAGTGCATTACAAAAGAGAGAAAGTATTGTAACAGATAGGAACGCCTAACTGACATCATGTCATATACGCCATTTGCGTTCATATTCCAGTAGTAATACTAGTAGTCTCTTAGTATAGACTTGATTGTATTGATCACATTGTTGTTGATTCCCTACATTGTACCATGTACAACTGTCGAGCAAGTTCATTCATTGAATTTCATTCTTCAGTTCCTGCACACATGTAAAATTACCTATACTAGACAAGTATTATAACTGTACCACTCTACTAGATAAGGAGGTTTTGCATTCAGAACACATATACCGGTAGTTGGCTTGAAAAATTTTTTAAAGTTAGAATTTCAAGTGTCATCCCACTACAACTGTAAAACACAAAGTTGTATCGTCAAACAAATTATTGTAAGACAGGGCTTGTCTGTGTGTTTGTGTGTGTTAGTGTGCTTTTCTGTACACAGTGTAGTATTGCCATACATCCTCAGTGCTGCAAATTGTGGGCTTCAAGGACTTGAAAACAGTATGGGTAAGGGGTGAAGTCTGCTATCACTGCTTGTGAATGACAGTTTTTCTCTCCACGCCCGCCCCCCCAGCGTTTATTGGAACTTCGAGATCCCGAGTAACGCTATCATCTTCGAGCACCCCCCCTGCACCATGCCCCCCGTGCACCCAGAGGCAGAGTCTTACCGAGCACAACTCACCAACAAGCTACGGTCACAGTACCAGGAACTGTGTCAGACCAGAGAAGGTGGGAAACACTTCACGCCAAAAAACAGTTACTGAAGCAACTGGATATGATTTTGGACAAGCAACTGTTTGCAAAATCATATCCAGTTGCTTGAGGAACAGTTTTTTGGCGTATCTCATTACCTGGATGCCTAACCTTCACCAACGTATGGGGAACATTTTGTTTACAAAAGAAAACAGTTACTCAACCAACTGGATAGATTTTGAAAACGTTCAGACGTTTCAGGTAGCATTCACTACTGCAGAATCTGTACTTGAACATGTATGTATTAAAAAATCTATGAATTGATATGTAAATCAGCTGAAGATATATTTCAGACAGTTGTGTGTTTGCTTATTTCAGCATTTGTTTATTCATGAAATGCTTTCATCAGCTCTTCAGGTCAGACAAAACATAACAAGATATAGGTTACAATTATAGGTTATGATTTAAGTAATACTAGACGACACTTGTAATTTGCTGACCATGGATGGATGGGTTTGGTTTTTGTGTGGCTGGGTCTGTGGATGGATGCAACAAAATGATGACACCTCCCGTTCATGCTCGTCAGGAATCGACGCCCCGCGGGAGTCCTTCAACCGCTGGATCCTGGAGCGAAAGGTCACGGATCGGGGCAATGACCCCATGTTACCTACGAACTGCGCAAACGAGGTTAGTAGTACACTGTTTTATTATTAAAAGCAAAGGCAAGTCCAACTTTACAGGACTTTCCTCACTTACCTCAAGTGAAAATGAGTATTGTCTTGTCCTGTATTCGTCCTCTGCATTGTTGGCGGTATAAAAATAAGTTGATATATCTTGAGTGTGCTGTCGCTATGTCTAATTATGATATGTTGGAATAAAAAAGAAGAAGATTACAGGGTGTCTCCCCCAGAAGCACTCCACTCGTACTCTTATATATACTCCTTCTACTCCTATATCATACAACAAACTCTGACATAGTCATATCTATTTGCTAAGATTTCTGCGTCCATGTACCGGGAGATCATGAGCGACATCCCAGTCCGCGGCTGTCGGCTCAGACATCCTGTCGAGGCGCGGAAGTACGTCTTCAAGTACGCAGAGGCCGCGAAGAAGATGGTCGAATCCAGGTTGGTTTGTTTGTTTGTTCATAAGATACTCAAGAGAGAAGAGGTAAGGGTCAGACAGAGTGAGATAAAAAGATAGAGGTTTCATTTGAATAGCTGCTCTGGTGCAATAGCTTGATTGGTTGAGTGCTTGTCATGAGTTCAAACCCCAGAGACGGGTCATACCAAAGACTGGAACATACTTCTTTCTCTGCTAAGCACTCAGCACATATGAGAAAGAGTGTGGGAAGGTCAAACACACAGCACTACCAGTGGACCAGCCCCCTGCTGTAGTGCCTTGCACAACTGTGTGTCGCCCAAGGGCTACAAAATGGAGATGGGCACCACCCTACGCTCTGCATAAGAGCACGGGAGACCTTCTTCTTTTTCTTACATGATTGAAGTCATAAAACAAATCAATCCATAAACATGTGGTGATAAGAAATCTATAGATTTGTATCATTGTACACATATTTTATTACCTAGAACACTTGAACAAAATAAATGTTGGAATATGGTCTGTGTCCATTCATTTGGGTCTTACCAGTAATTGTAAAAGTCTTAAAGAGGACAGAGTTTGGGCTGTATTTGTGTCTGGTTTAAGTTTTGAGCTTTGTTTTTTCTTTCCCACCTGTACAGAAACTGCTCGTCTGACAGCCGTAAGATAGTGAAGTGGAGTGTGGAGGATATCATGCAGTGGCTCCGCCGGCAGAACAACGCTACCCTGGAGGACTATCAGGTAGGCTTTCAGTTTATTCTAATCTCCAAGCAGATCATATGGTGGCAACGCAGTATACATTGGCCAGAGGAGTGTCCATTAGCCTATGGATACAGTCTGGCTAATGGATACTACCAGGCCAATTTGATACTGTCTTTTGCAGCCACTGAAAGATCTGCTGGGAGATTAATTTTATTCCACGTAAGCACATTTGAAATACAATAGATGAAAATTAAAGAGGTGATAGTCACTGTTATGTCAGTCTTGCTAGGAATGTGGTAAATCTTTAAAGATAAACAAAAAAAGAAAATAAAACTGACTGACGTTGCCTCCATCCTGTGGGTTGACATGAGGTTTATTTATTTATTTTCATTTATTAATCTTTCAAACATATTGGTAGTCCCTTCAGCCGTTGAAGGCTGATTTCCAAGGGAGCCCATGGAAAAATAATACAAGAAAGTAATCTGTAGGTGGATGTCCTCCCTCCCAAAAATGTGGTAAATCAAGATTAAGGTAAAGATAAATGAAAAGGAAAGCAAACTGACTGACGTTGCCTCTCTCAAACCTGAAGGAGCGACTGACTCACCTGAAGACCCAGTGTGGTCCTCACCTGACGGAGGCGGCCAAGTCTTCCGTGGAGGGAATCTGCCAGAAGATCTACCACCTGTCCTGCGAGTCGGCCAAGAAGATCTACGACAAGCACTGGGAGATCCTCAAGGAACACGGCATCGAAGGTGAGACACAGCTTGGATTTCCTGGTCGGGGCGTGTTGCCCGGACCGAGTCCACTCTCTCTCTCCATGCTGCCCTGTCCGCCATTTCCTGACCTGGCTACAAATCTGTCATATTCTTCAGTTACTTTCTCCATGCTGCTGCCTAACCCTAGAAATGAAAATTTTCGCGAAGGGATTGAAAATTAAAGCCAGTTTTTGCTCAATCCTATGCAGCAGTGTTTGTTATGTACATGTAATATCATTGTACAAAATACCTCATCTATCCCTAAACAGCCACTGCCACTACACTATTATTTGTACATTATTTGCCTGTGGCATCTGCCGCTATATGACAACAAACATACTATGAGACTATACAAATGTGCGGAATGACCATTCCTGTTCTCCTGTGTTTGGTCCAAGATTCAGCAGCAGCTCAGCAACTAGGTGGATATTTGATGTTTTGAAGCAAAATGTGCCAGTATCAGGCCAAAGGCATGCCAAAGCTTTTGTGATAAATCTTGTTTCTCCATGTGTGTTTGTGTAGAGATCCAGCAAAAGTTTGATGTGGGCACAGTAAACCTGAAGTTTTGAAGCAACATTCCAGTAACAGGCAAAAACTTGTATCTGAAACCCTGTTTTTCTTTGTGTATTTATACAGAGATCCAGCGTAAGTTTGAGGTACACAAGCGTCGGGTGCAGTGTTACCAGATCCACATGGTGGTCTCGTGTCCTCGCCTGCCCTCCATCTCCTACCACGTGGAGAACAACGTCGGCTGTCTCAGGTTCAAGGGCGAGGTCCTCTCACTCAACCAGAACTACCTACAGAAACTGGTAATTATAACTAGCTCTTACAAAACACTCAACCAGAACTACCTACAGAAACTGGTAACTGGCTCTGGCAAATGACTGTGTAGATGATGAAGCACATTTTGTTTTAGAATGCTCACAGACATACGGAAATCCTTAACTAGTTCCTCACAGTTATATGCGCACTTATCCAAAACAGAATTATTCAAACATATTATAACATCCAAGAGCTACGATGTAAATAAGTAAAAAACTATGTAAATTTGTTCATTCATGTCTCAAAAAGAGAGAAGAGATCCTGTAGATGTAGTCGTATAGCACAGCAATTTAACACTTGTTCCTTCTACCCTTGTACCTCAGTTATCTAACTTAATGCATTTGGCCCATGTAGGGTGGGAATATGCAATAATGTCCTACAATAAATGAGTGTTTCTACCACGTGCAAAGCTCAACAATAAGCGGCCAGTAGGCAAATTTGGGTACAGTATCTCATGATTAAACAAAGGTTGAAACAAAAAAACAAAACAAACAATTTGTTTGTACGTTGTTGCCATAGGAGCATCTCTACCGTCTGCACTGCCGAGACGACCGCCCATTGGAGAACTTCCTGCCCAGAGTCTGGTGCCTGCTGAGGAGATACCAGGTACATTAACACCTTTCTGCTGCTACTGGTTTTCCTAGCTCTGTAAACATCACTTGTGCCCTATGCGGTTTTATCTAGGGACCCATCGTATCCAAACAAAAAATCCCTCCAAATTGAAGTACTTTGAATTAAATGAATCTCAATACCCGTTGTTCTGTCTTAACAATAGCTAGAAAGCTTCACTCAAAATCTAACAGAAACAGAATAGTTTTGAGTGATAATTTTTTCAGTTGTGGTTTTCCATCCAATATTATTGTAGAAGTTTGATCCGTAAAGATCCTGATACAGCAGTCGGAAGTTTTCTGGATAAAGTCATGCAGAGCACAGTAGAGACTGGTTCATACAAATATGTCATTGGGAAGTGTTCTTGGCGAAGATAGCAAGATGTGTGACACAAAACATAAACATACAGTCACAATATAAACCTCAACACTGTCAAAAGAATGATACTGGATTTTGATGGAGAAAGTTTTGACATGACATCATGTGAGAATTTCTTGGGTTTCTGTTTTTATGTACTCACTAGCCTCTAAATTTGGTGTACTTAGTGATACAGCAAATTAAATTTTCGCTTCTGCAGTAACTGAACAGCGTAACATCTCGCTATCTAGTGAGTCTGCTGAAAAAATTATATGTAGTTATTGCTGCCCAAAGTAGCCTACCATCAGTTTTCTTACCAGCAAAAATGTGTGATTTGTACTTAATTGCCATGATGATCATTCAAAAATGAGATGTACAATATTGGCTGAAAGGGTAGGTTAGGCCTGTCTTCCTATTGGATAGGATGTAGTTGTTGACCACTTTTGACTGTTTGATATACTGTGCTGGAAGCCAAGGTTCTAACAACTACAGAGCACAACTTATGTACTGTATGATTGTTGTTTATAGACCACCAGCTAAGAAGAAATTAACTCCAAAGAAAAAATGTTGTTTTTATGGTGAAAGTAACCAAAATGTAAAAAAAAAAAAAATTTCCCAATATTTCTCATCATTTGGGAGTAAAAAAAAATAACTTTTTTGTCAGTCAACTTTGGTAGCTTGTTAGAAATGCAGTCCGAGTGGGTTGTACCTAATCTCCAAGCAGGTGTTTTGTCGGCTACAGGACAGTATGAAATTGGAAAGTCTGTATCAAATTGGTAAGACAGTATCCAATATTCCACTGGCTTTTGGCTGGAAAAAAAAGATCCTTTACTAAAAAGAAAGCCTAGCTAGAAAGGTAACATTTGCAAAGCAAATGCATAATGTTTACCTTCACATATGGCCTGCTCTGTGAATTCTTACACAAGCACATTCATATATATTGTCAGACAGGAGTCTAAATCCCTCCTGCTATAAAATTGCAACATTATGTAACCCAACACCAGTTACCATGGTGACAGACGTCTGGTTCAGGTCATTGTCCTTATTGGTTTGGAGAAGAAGCAGAAACAGAGCAAAAGCAATGTTTTCCCTTCATAAGCATAATAAAAATGCCTAAAAACACATAGCAAATAAATAAGTCACAGCCTAAACCTCTGCTTGGAGAGTCGGTCGGTCGCACCTCGTGTTGGTCAGAACCTTGACTTCCCGCGCTTGACCAGGGTTTCGCTGACTCGGCGCACGACCGTCGGAGGGCACCGCTGGGGCGGAGAGAGCGGTCTGCCGGCGGCGACAGCCCTGCTACTCAGGTCAATTAACCCGGGAGTGAACGAGTGATGATTACTCAAACACTTGTTTAAAACATAATGCAATTTTAATCCCGCATGGTGTTAAAATTTCATAACTACAGGCTTACCAACAGTCTGACCCCTCAGGGTAGTAGAGACAAGGAAAAAGTCACACCAGTAACTTGTTCTTCTTCCCTTTGTATCTTTTTTAAACTTTGGCTCAATATGAACAAAGATAAAAGAATAATTTTTACAATTTTTACAATACATTTTGACTGGTGGACTTTCATATTAATTAAAAATTCAGCCAGCCATATCCTGAAAGTTTGTAGCTGTCATGCAGGTGTTTTAAATGTTGCACACAATTGAAAAAAAATGTCCCATTGCAAAGTGAACAACATTTATTGTGTGAAGGGGACACACTGTAAGTTACAGGTGTGACTGTTCTTACTTGTCTACAGTCCTTTGTCCTGATAATAATCTGTATAGGAATCTTCATCTCCTGATGTTATAGCAGGTCAATCTGTTGATTTGAGGCCTGTTGATTCTGTGATCTTTCAACTGTGCCAATCAATATTCTTTGGAAATGAGTGATTGTTTATAACATCAGTAGAACTTGTAATAGGCAGGCGGTCTCCTCCTCAAATCTCCATGTGAACATCATTACACAGCACAACAAGCCCGTGAAAACCTTAAAGTTTGTAGGCATACAGTCAAACCTGTACATGTACAAGTGACCACCTACATAATAACTGCCTGTCCAATGGCATTATGTGACCACTTTTTGGTGGTCCCCTAGATGATTTTTCCCACTGATACAAGCATTAAAAAAATAATGTTACCAATTGTCCACTCATACCAGAGTTTGTGGGCAGGTTTGACTGTAGAAGGATTTGATAAAGAGACTGCCTCCTCTGTAGCCTGTAGTTAACTACATGTAGTTAACATCTCTGTACCAACTGTGTTCCCTTCTCTTGTTCTGCAGACTTTGTTCGGGTCCAGTCCAAACGAGGGGACGGGTCTCCAGGGCGCTCTGCCTGTTCCCGTCTTCGAGGCGCTGCACAAGTACTTCGGCGTGACCTTTGAACTGTTCGCCTCGCCGCTGAACTGCTACTTCCGACAGTACTGTTCCGCCTTCCCCGACACGGACGGGTACTTTGGCTCCAGAGGGTACGCAGAATCTTTGTTTGTTCAATTTTGCAAAGTGAAAACTCAAACTAATATACAAGTACTTTTGCATGTATTTTTTTAATTGTATGTAAAAATTTGGCCATGGGTTTAGATCCAGACCTTTAAATGTGTATTTGCAGAAAGTATTTCTGAATTGCAGAAGAAAATTTTGAGATTCTGCAAACTCAGATTGCAGGACACTGAAAAACGTGTTTCTACCACTGTTGTTGGTTTGAGCCTTTGTTTTCAGTTCAGTTCAGTTTTAGTCAAAATTGACTTGCATGTACATTGAACAGTATCACATGAAATATGTCAGATTTTTAGTATTTTAGTTTTACAGACACTGCTTTCCATTAAATAATGATAATTCTTAGGCACAAATTAAAACTTCTCACACAAAATATGATACATGATAACAGTGGACATCACACGAATGTTACAAAGATTTGTGACCTACAGTTTCCATGTTTGTGTGCTGTTCCAGGCCTGTACTTGACTTCCACCCTGTGTCGGGGTCATTCGAGGCCAACCCTCCATTCAGTGAAGAACTCCTCAACGCCATGGCAGAACACTTTGAGGTGAGAGCAAAACAAATGGAGAGTATATTTTTTTAAAATTTCTTAATTCGTAGTACATACACATTGTACTTAAAATAAAGTACATAGGAGAATAGAACAAAGTAACAAAGGACTCTTATACAATGTGTACACGACACTACGTGTACAGTACAAGAAAAAAGTTACAAGACTGGTTTATTCAGCAAACAAGAACATAGGAATACTAACAAGCTCCCTGGCAGCCACAACGGCTGAATTGCTAGGCTTGTTTTGACAAAACATTTCAAAAAATATATACATTTATCAATTTTAAAAGAGTTACATTTAAAATGTTGAAGATATCTAGTTGATAAAAATGAAGTGGTTTCACGAAAGCAAGCTGATCACTTCATTTATTTCATTTATGGCTCAAAGTCAAACATGTATATTTAAAATGACATAATTACATGGTACAGAAAAAGTACAGTAAATACATGTAAAAAGACATACTGACATCAGAAAATCAACAATAAACACACAAATCAACAATAACAATTACTTGTCCTCATGTTGACATTTTTGCCACTTTTGTTGTGCTGTTTTCCAGCGTCTCCTGGCAACGTCCTCGGAGCCGCTGTCGTTTCTCGTGTTCATCCCCGAGTGGAGAGAACCGCCCATCCCAGCGCTGCTCAAGATGGAGAACAGCATGTAAGGAGAACAGTGGTTTCCCTGTTAACACAATAGTGCTAACCAAGTTTCAAAGTTCGATGCCATAGTTCTCACTAGACTATTTGAGTGCAGGGACCCCCTGTGATTTTGACTCCCTAAGCTGTGTTTCAATCAGCGTAGGGGTGTTTTTTTTGTGGTAGAAGCTTCATAAATCTTTCTAAAAAAGAAAATATAACTTTAGAATGAAGCTATAACAAAGGGAAAATAAAATCCCCGCCCTGATCAAGATGGAAAACAGCATGTAAGGAAACAAGCAAACTGTCTGCAGACACAACAGAACTATAGTAAATCAAATCAAATCAGTGACAAATCAAATCTTTATTCAGTAAGGAGCTCGCAGGCAACACACCCGAATTTCGTCCTTATTACAGAGGATTTCCAGGCTGAGTATAGATCACATTAATACAATGACTTGAGTACACTCCACTTAATATCTGTTGTCCTGATTTGTTTAGATTCAAGAGAAAGACATTGGTGGTGCCAGCCTATGAGCATGAGTACAGAAGTGGCCTCCAACATGTGTGCTCTGGGTAAGTTATTACTGAAACTTGGACTATTTTTTTAACTTTGAAACTTCGTTCTCGTACCACTTTGCAGACATTGTCAGTCTGAATTATTATCATGAAAGTTCATCTGTGTTGGTAGTAATCATAGTAAAATGTTAAACTTTATTCCAACACAAGGGTTACACAGATCAGGATAATTAATGACCAATCCCTTTACACAAGATAATTAATGTCCATTGACCAGAAGCGATTGGTCATTAATTATCCTGATGAACGCTACAGTGGTCATTGAAAATTTGATCTCCGTGTAACACTTGTGTTGGAATAAAGTTCAACGTTTTACTTGAGATGAATTTTTCTCCCTGCAGGAGTGACCTGTACTTCAAGTCTGTGCACGGCACCCTGGTCCTGATTCTGCAGAACGAAGCAGGCTTCGCCAAGTGGGGGCCGACGGACGAGCGGGTGAAAGGTCTTCTTGACGCGTACCGCCCGCAGGGCAACCCCTCCCCAAGCACCTCCTCCGAGGGAAGGCGCGACTCGGTCGACGGGAAAAACGCCACAGAGTCCAGAAGTAACTCCAAGGACGAGAAGAGATGAGCTTGCACAGCCCTGTTAGCTCAATGGTATGGTCCTGCTCGAATGGGTTTTCCCCATCACGTCGGCAGAACATACTGCGCCTGCGCGAAACTCAGACTTTTCGCGGTTTTCGTTCGATGTTTGTTTGTTTCACATAACTGGTAAACCGCCTTTAGGCCTGACACACCTAGCCTGGGTGCCATCCTAATTTTACCCCGGGGTAGCCGTTACAAATTCGAATGGCATCCAGGCTATACCACACCAGTTATGTACATGTAAGTACAAGCTGTGTTAGGCCGGACTGTAAGGTTTAAATCACTCACACCGGGAAGGATCCCTACTCTTTTAGATAAGTGGGGTGGGTTCTTTTAGATTTTGTAGGTGTGGCTCTCCCCAAACACTGGACCTTCATTTTGGCCAACGTTGCATTAGAATTTTGCCTGTTGCAGTCGATATCTTTTCCGACACAACATTTGGAAACTACAGACAGGATGTCAATACGCGAATACGACCTTATATGAGATGTTGTGCCGAAGTGCTATGCACAATACATACATTACGGGTTTCGCGCAGGTGCAGTACGTTCAGCCAACGTGCTTGTTTCCCCCAACCAAAATCCTATTCTATGTGAGGGGTGGACAGATTTTATCTATATTGTGATATAATTAGCATAAGTTAGCATATTTTTTATTTAAGAACATACAAGGCCATCTTTGTGAAGGTTTTGGTAATGGGTGAGTGCATTTTTTGTATGTATTATTACCAGTAGTTTATTTGATGCAGTATGTATTCAGTATTGTTTATCGTGAATACAGGACTTGCCAGTATATTAGAGATTTTGTCATTCTCTAATTTGTTTGTATAGTTGGAAATAGTAAGTCTACCGGAGAGACTTATTACTATTTGATTTTGTACAGTTCAATCATTTTTAATTAGTTATTTTTTGACATCTCTGTTTAAGTACAGAGGAATAACCTGCGTTCTAAGGGTTATGTTTTTAATTACAAATGTTTTTAATTACAAATATTTTAGTATGTGCCTCTTGGGTAATTAGTAAGTCATTGGGTAATTAAGATTTTTTCTCAATTGTCATGTATATGAAGATTTTTTTAAATCCAGCAAACTTTTACAAAAGGAAAAAACAGTTTGAAATGGTGATGGAAACTTCTTGATTGCTGAAACTTTTAAAAGTGCTCATTTTTGTCTGTGAAAAAAATAACAGCAAAGGTTTTGAACCCCTTGATTATGAAAACATGGTCAAAAGCTTGGCAAAAATATGACAAGAAATCAGAACAGCTTTACGATTTTATAATTTGTGAGGATGAAACTTGAAAGATGATTTTCACACTGATGGTTAAGTGTTGGCAATTATGAAGATGAGTGATTTTGCTTGATCTATATCAGTAATAGATTTCTGTGACCATAAAAAAGCATGCTGTTTTTATATGACTTTTCTGTGTCCTTTTACATGACTTAATTTTTTGTGGGATTAGAACAGAGTATTTTTTCCAAGTGTAATATTTATTTGATAGACTTAGACATAATGTATTAGTTAGTAGGTTGTACTCAAATGCAGAATGAAGATTTACTTAATGTAGTTTATACATGTACATGTAAGTATGGATGATTATTGTATGTTAACAGATATATGTGAAGTACTAGATACTTTTAACTTCCTCTGCCCCTAGTTTTGCTATGGTCTTATGGTAATAGAAATGGACAACATAGTCCAGTGTTTTAGATGCCTTTCCAAAATCACATTGTTTTTCAGTTGGTTTTCCTTAGCAGGTTATACTCACAGTGACCTCACTATGGACACATATTGCAGGCACTGTGTTAAACTGGAAAGGCCACCTCTTACATTTGAGAGGGTCCTCAGTTGCCATATTTTGGAGGCAGTGCTTCTCCAAGCAGATATAGGGTCTTCAAAAAAGATCTTGTTCACATTTTCTGACATAGAGAGCCAGTAAAAATTAGAATCTCTCCTCCCAACATCTTCTTGGATATTGCACAGAACACAGGGCAAGGGAAGTTTGATTTATGGGGTAGCTCATGTATGTCTGGTGTAAATTATGTACAGTATTTGGAGGTGTTGTACAGAATGGACTGAATAGATGGTAGGTAGTAGTCTTTTTACAGATCTTTGTTACGATTATATGGTGCATGGAAAAATCGTCGGCTTAAAAAAATGTTTGTTGAGTTACTTAAGAGTTGACTTTTTATTTTAAAAAATCTCTGTACAGGAAGTATTTTATTGGTTTTAGAAATAGCGTAGTTGAAGAATAAAATCAATGACTGCGAAATGAGATTCTCCTAAACAAAAGAATCAAAGACATGTAGTTGTGAGACAATGGCAATCAGTGTCTGTAATCAGTGATTAGTATGGTATAGGACTCCAGGCCTGTCCAATACAATTCCTTGGTCCTCAGACATAAAAAAAAGAAAACAGACTGTGCATAGTACATACTTTAGTAAGGTCTTAAACATAGATTGTTTTGTGTGAGAAATATGTGTCTAAAAATGGTCTATTCTCACTGTGGGTTTCAACATTTTTAGATATCTATGAAAAACTGTCAAAGGACCAAAATTTTGTTGTTATGATGTTGGTTCCTCCTTTGTGCAGATAGACTTCTCATACTATGTGGAATTAGAAGCAAAATCAGCGAATCTGCATTCTCAAAATTGTCCCTCTCTAAAAAAGTCTAAAACTGTTATTCAGTGTATCGGGCACCAACTTCACATGCACACTGGTACCATGTGTTATTTCATGTTGATTTTCATTGTTTGCTAGTAGATAGTTAGAAGTCGTGTCAAATTCTACCCTACATTGGATTTAAACATAACATCAAGAGTATGACAATGAAAAAATCTAATGCAGCAGTTATTGTACATCAAAGAAATATGAAGAAAACAATTGCATGCCTCTTGCTAAAGATATGATAATGGTAAGACATGGAATAGACCACAGACATCAATGGTACAAAGTGTAAATTAAACATGGTGTTAGCATGAATATTTTTCTCCTGTGTGAAATGTGATGTGAAGTGAGTTGGTGAAAGTAGTGGACAATAGAGATATGGATTGTACAGTTTATTTATGATATGGTTAAGTCCGTGAATAGTTTCATCAGGTTGGTAAGACACTGAGTAAAGAGGCGTCTTTT